GGCTTGCCTGGTGTTAATTGGCTTAAATCCTGGTAAAACCTGTTGAATCTTGCCATCTTCCTAAAGGTCTGTACAGTGAATGAGTGTGTAAGTTTTTCCTGCACATAGCATAAGTTCTGAATGTTAGTGGAAAATATTCTAGTAAGAATCAGGCTTATTCTGATATGGCAAGATCCTATGTGGTGAAGACATAGTCACCAGCAGCTACACACCCAATCAGGAACTCCATTTTTTTTTAATTTTTTTTTTTTTGAGAGGTAGCTTTCTCTTTGGCTTCCATTCAGTTTTATGTGTCAGCTAAATAAAATGGGGACTTAATATGGCCTTTGGCGCGTGTTTTCATTGGTGTGGGTTCTCCAGTAAGCCACATATAACCTACTTGGAACATTTCAGTGATACCCACCTTTGTGTGTGCCAAAACATACTGAAATATTCCTTGTTTCCACATTTCCTTTTCTGAAAGGTAAGTTGAGGGTGGGTGAACACCATCACTGCTGATCTGAATATCCTCTTCCTCTTTTCTCTATGTCTTGATATATAGTAGAACCTCAAATATTTAACTGTATGAAAAAAACAGCAAATGTTTTTAGAAGAATATATGCTTTAGGTACTGAACATTCTTTATTTGGGCTTTGCTTCCAGTGGCTTTTAAATTATGATTCTAAGGAATATTGTTTTTCCTTGAGCTGAACCTGGGGTGTTTGCCTCTAAATTCCAATAATGAGAATCTTTTCTCAATTAGCTGAAAAAATACTAGTGAATAGCAACATTTTCCAATTTTTGAACTCCCTTCTCACCTCATCTTTATTTGTGTAAAAGTTTTGATTCATATTGTAAGGCTATATTTGGTTAAGATTAGATTTTACTATTTTAATTTACAAATTATTCCATGAAAATTAACTTGACTTTGAAGACCCCAGCTTTTTGAACAGATAAGATAACATAGGTCACAACAAATGACAAGTGCTATTACCTGCTTTAGTGGGGGACAGGGTCCTGCATGAAAATTACATACCAGGCAGTTCCATGTCCTATGCATGCCTTAATTTCTTTCAGCTTCCCATCAGTTCTGTTATGTGGTATTTTTACCAGGTTTAGAATGATGAGACTGAGTCACAGAGCAGTGCCAATTCAATGCCACAGAGTCAACAAAGGATCAATCTGTTTGACTTTAAAACCCAGGGTCCTCTCCACTGTACTGACACGATAGTTAGCAGTGTTAGTGTCTAATTATTGCTGTTAGATTATAAGTTCCTTCACTATAGAGGTTATGTTTCATTTACTCCCCATCACTGAAAGGCTCTATAAAACTGGATAGAGGCTGGGCACAGTGCCTAACACCTGTTATCCCAGCACTTTGAGAAGAGGCTGAGGAGGATGGATCATGAAGTCAGGAGTTTGAGACCAGCCTGGCCAACATAGTGAAACCCTGTCTTTACTGAAAATACAAAAATTAGCCAGGTGTGGTGGCATGTGCCTGTGGTCCCATCTACTTGAAAGGCTGACTTGAACCCAGAAGGCAGAGGTTGCAGTGAGCTGAGACCATGACACTGCACTCTAGCCTAGGCGACAGAGTGAGACTTCATCTCAACAACAACAGCAACAACAACAACAAACTGGCTAGAGTTGTCGCCATCACATTTCAGTTAGCTTTGCTTGTACAATATGACTTCTACTTTAATATATAGTCAAGGTTTTGCCCAAATCGTCTTCAGTACTCCTAATTACTTGCCCTCTGTTGTACATTAGGACTTAACCTTTCTTTGTCTTTCAGGTGAAACTCAGTCTCTTCCTGACACCTTCAAATAGGGTTTAGCAATTTAGAAAACCATTCTAGGAAGGTTTAACAGTCTGAGATAACAATTCATATTTGAAGATGCTTACTGTTAATTTCAGTGTGGAATGATTTAACACTTTAAGACAACAAAGTAAAAATTAGGTAACTCAACTGAAGACCTTCAAGTGTTAAGTACAGAAAAGTTGAGAAGTAGGCAGGGTGTGGTGGCTCATGACTGTAATCCCAGCACTTTGGGAGGCTGAGGTGAGCAGATCATGAGGTCGAAACTTTGAGACCATCCTGGCCAACATGGTGAAACCCTGTCTTTACTAAATTACCAAAAACTAAATAAATAAATTAGCCGGGCATGGTGGCATGCACCTGTAGTCCCAGCTGCTCTGAAGGCTGTGGCAGGGGAATCGCTTGAACCCAGAGGCAGAGGTTGCAGCCTGGAGACAGAGCAAGACTCTGTCTCAAAAAAAAAATAAAAACAAAAAAGTTGAGAAGAAGAAAAGTCATTTCTGACGAGCTGAGAGTATGTTTAAGAAAGATCTAGCCATCTTAAAGTTTGTTTTTTAATGTTTCAAATACCTGATACATTGGTATAAAACTGAATTGTCATTGTATGGGAGATACTATAATACTCTGGCATATTGATTGAATACGCAAATCTGAATACATATTATTTTTTGAGACAGAGTCTCACTCTGTTTCGCAGGCTGGTGTACAGTGGCATGATCTGGGCTCACTGTAACCCCCACCTCCCAGGTTTAAGTGATTTTCCTGCCTCAGCCTCCCAAGTAGCTAGTATTACAGTAACATGCCTGGCTAATTTTTGTATTTTTAATAGAGACAGGATTTTACCATGTTGGTCTGGCTTGTCTCTAACTCCTGACCTCCCTCCAGTGATCCACCTGCCTCGGCTTCCCAAAGAATTGGAATTAGAGGCGTGAGCCACAGTGCCTAGCTTGAATACATATTATTATAAAATTATATTTTAAATGTTTTAATGTATTGTTATTTAAAAAGCAGATATTGATGGTGAATGAGGACTCATAGGCATGTGTCCTTAAATTGAAGGAAAATTACTGTGTAAAAAAAAACTATGTTTTTTAAGGAAAACATATTTATTCCCCAAGAAAAATCATGTCTCTCCCTGTCTCTCTCTCTCTCTCTCTCTCTCACACACACACACACACACACACACACACACACACATTCTTTCTCTCTGCATATATATATACACACACACACACATATGCATACATGCATATATATATATTATATGACTCAGCTGAAAAAAATATATAACTAAAATTGCTGATCAATAAAATGTTCATTTCTGTGCCTCTAAATCAACTTGATTTTGACAGTGAAGAAATACCTTGGTAAACCATGTTGGGTTTATTTTGTGTTTGTTTTCTCCCATTCAAGATTATCAACTCATAATTTACTGGCCTGATTAAATGATTGGATAAAAAACAGAGTTCATGAATTTTGCCCCATTCTCTTAATTTTAAAGATAATAGGTTGCTTCTGAGGATATTGCATTTATACTAACTTGTTCATTTCATGTTGCTGGTAAGTGAAAGTTTTAATCTGAAAAGAACTTAGTGTTCAGATCACCTAAGGGAGGGAAAAAAGTACTGGTATGGGGCTGGGATAATATTTTCTTGAGATTTTATGGTACTTTTTCTTGCCTCTTCTCTTCTTTTTTTTTTTAATGTTTTATTTTAAAGAACAATTGCCAACCAAATTGGTTTTTTTTTCTTCCTCTTTCTTCTTCTAAAAGAAAAAAAAAACAATTGCCAACCAAACAATTAATTATTAGTATGTCAGTTGGTTAAGAAATTTTGAGATGGAGGTGGAGGGAAGGTGAAAAATGTAGTGATATCTCTTAATAAAAAGGAAATAAAGGAATGTGAACTTGAATTTCATCATACTGTTTGGCATAGATCTGTATCACACGTAGTATGTTAATTTCTCATCATGAGAGTTTTTGTTTTTTTTTAAAAAAAAAGCAACTTCTATCTGGACAAAGACAAAAGATATTTGCAATTCTGTGTTTTGTACAAAATGAGAATGTTAAAGCACATATAAAACATAAAAACCAGATTTATAAATAACTTACAAAGTGGATAAAAATGTTCCTTTAAATTGCAATAGCTTCAGAGGTTTGGGGAATTATTTTCAGAATATTGAGAAATGAGAAATTGCATTTCAACTGTTTCCTACTCTTTTCCCAAAAGTACAAAAATAAAATGTTAATTTTTATATGAGAGTGATTTTTAAACCACAAGCAGATTTTTTTTCTTTGAGATTTTTTCTATAGTGGCCAATTTTGTATGAAACAAATTTTTTTTAGGCCTAATTGCAGTCAGAGTAGTTAGGCCGCTAGCTCTCTGCTAAGGATGAATTTCATTTGAACTTTCTAATGGTATGATCTTTTTTCAGAATTTAATAACTGACTCAAATATTTAATAGTGGAAGCTTTCATTAAATTAAAAAGAAATCAGGATATATTTTTAGAAGAACTAACTTGTTTTCTTTATCAGTTCTATCTACTTCAGGAGAAGAGGAAGAGAATGGAAGCAATCTCTTTGTGTGCTTAAATAGGCATTAATGTTATAACCCAGCAAATAATTTATTTCAGTTTATATCATCATTCAAAAGATTTGGAAAGCACCAAATGGCAGTAATAACTATACTTCCAGCTCTATTGAATAACAAATTACACTGACTGTGTGAACCTCTTCATTCATCTCCTGGATAATCATTCTTTTTAATACTCACATATATTTTCTAGATCAGTTTTTAGATTGTACACAGTCAACTTGTGCATTGCCTAACAGTTTCTGTTAAATGCAATGGCTTGTTTTGAAATGCAAGTGGGGCAAGATGAGGGATGAAAGATATTGTTTCCATGTGTCATTCTATAAGTAGATGACAAAAGATCATTACATGGATTAATTTACAAACATACTTAGAAATAGAATGTTTTTACATAAGGCAAAGATGAGGGTTGAAAGATTTTGCTTCCATGTGTCATTCTATAAGTAGATGACAAAAGATCATTAAATGGATTAATTTACAAGCATCCTTAGAAATAGAATGTTTTTACATAAAAGCATGTTGTAAACCTTTTTAATTAAAGTGCATTGTGTCATGCACTCTCTTCACCCCAGGGTTCTTTTGACCTCTCACCTCTCACTTTGTCTTCCAGGCACTCCACTGCTGGTGAGAAGAAGCAGTGACCCAGTGCCAGGCCCACCTGCTGATGCCCAGCCAAGCTCTTCACACCCTGGTGGCCAGGGTCTGAAACCGGTTATTCCAGTAGGTATCCAGCTGTTTTTATTTCGAATGAAAGATCAAACTGCTCTACCCATAGATTAAGTGGGACTTTGCAATTTTAAGTAAATTGATAAGTAGATAGAGATCTTCTGATAGTATATAGGGTATTAGTTGTAATAGTAGGTAGTATGGGCTATTACTTGTATATAGTTATAGTGATAGCCATTATTTATGTGACACTGATTATGTGCTAAGCACTATTTTAAGTGTTTTATAGTAAGTCATCTAAACTTCCACATGAAGGTAAGCATATGTTTTTATCTCCATTTAACCGATAATGAAATTGAGGCAGAGGAAGTTTAGTCATTTTTTTAAGGTCATGTAGCTAATAAGTGGCAGAGCCAGGAATTTCACCCAGGTGCTCTGGCTGCAAACTCCTTGGTTCTAGCCAGCACACTATACTGTTACATTTCCTTCATCTTCCTGTTTTATAATGTCCTAGGATATAGTTATGTTTTTGGTGTGTTAACCCAATGCTTTGCAAAACCATATCATGGAGACTGGTGTACAGTTTCAAGCTCCCAGTATCATGAAAATATGGGACCAGGATTGTATTTCTAGAACTCAGCATTCGGATTGAAGAAAAACAAAATCATATACCAAAAGCGCTTATAACTAGACATGCTTATAACTGTTATAACTGATAGGTTAAGTGGAGAATAATTTCCTGAAGGGATGATATTCTCCTTCCATATAGGACTGTGGGGTCATCCAGCTAAATCTTTAGTTGCTTTGAAGAACTGTAATTGTGGCTAATCCTCTCAGGTAGCCTGAGGGTTCAGTTTTGGCTAATGACTATATACCATTGCAATACTTAATCTTCAATAACATAACCATATTAAAAATTCCCTAAAAGCAAGACTCTTTCTCACTTTAAGTCTCACTGTCTATGGCACCTTAAGAAAAAAATAAACACATCCTTTATGGGTATATAAGAATGCTGAAATGAGTTAAATGGATTCTTCTGGTTTGGTATAAAATATTCTTATCAAGAGCCAGTGTCAGTGTATATGACATAGGAGTCACTATTTCAAATCATTAGCTATTTTTTAATAGATTTGTGGCAATATTTTGGCCTATTTCTTTTTTTATACAAGAAAGCAGATGTCTTTAAAGTATTTTAGATGAAATATTTTACCACTATCCTACTTAAAACTCTATCCTTCTAAGGAAATACATTTAATGGAACATTAATAAAAATCAGGTGTATGTGTTCTATTTTAATGTAAGTACAAACAAAACTGGTATGTGGTATGGCTTTTTTTAAACACACACTGGTTGAGACCATGTTGAGTTTAATTATATTGGATTGGGGAAGACAGCTATTCAGTGAAAGAATTTACATAAAAGAGCAGAACTACGATTTAGTTCTTATTTTCACAATGTCTGTGTACTGTAAAATGAGAATGTGTCTGATTAATGTATTAGCATCATTTGCATGGAGAAAGTCCCTGTATTTGCCCATTTTCACACTGCTATAAAGAAACACCTGAAACTGGGTAATTTATAAAGGAAAGAGGTTTAATAGACTCACAGTTCTGCATGGCTGGTGAGGCCTCTGGAAACTTAAAATCATGGTGGAAGGGGAAGTAAACATGTCCTTCTTCACAAGGAGGCAAGAGAAAGAAGTGCAGAGTGAAGGGAGAAGAACCTCTTATGAAATCATCAGCTCTCATGAGAACTCACTCACTATCAGGAGAACAGCATGGAGGATCTGCCTCCATGATCCGGTCACCTCCCATGGGGTCCCTCCTCCAACATGTGAAGATTATAATTTGGATTACAAATCAAGATGTGATTTGTGTGGGGACAGAAAGCTTAACCATATCAGTCCCCCAATGTTTATTTCCATGTTTCTGTTACTTAGGCTCTGTGCTTAAACCAATTAAAATGACATCACTGTTGCTTTCCCTAGAGGAAACAATGGCTAACGTCCATCTGGCAAATGCTGTAGCCTCACCAAAATATTATATCAGTGAGATCCAAATTGGGGTATGGGGCAGAAAGACATATTATTACTAGCAAAGATGCATATCGTAAGTCAAGAATAAATGCTGGCACCCAAAATCATTGTGCCTTACTTATGAAAGTTAACAAATATGGGCTGAATTCCTATGTATAAACAGTGAAAAGGAAACACGTTTCTTCCTTTCCTCAGAGCGTCCTCTGTGGATGATGAAGTGCAGACCTCAGACCCAAAAAGTAGAGTCTGGTCCTTGCCCTTGCATGGACTAGTGGCACATCTTAGGTGTCTCTTGCTTCAATTGTAAAATAATCTCCATGAATACTTTAAGCTTTAACATCTCAAGGTACAGACATTGTGCCTTATGTATCTTTACCTAGGGGCAAGTACATGAAAGATGCTCAGTGTATATGTTTTGAACTTAGAAATGCAAGATACATGTAAGTTTAGGAAGAGTCCTAGGAGTTCTTAGAAATTTATCAGCTTACTAATTAATCTGACTCAGCCATTCTCTTAGTTTCCCAAAGAGCATCTACCAGGTAAATGTTTCCCTGCTCCAAAGTCTGGTTCACCACAGGCAAGAGAGTTTAACTGCTTTATTATGCAAACATTAATAAAGACACTTGGTGTGCTTTTATTTACTAGAAGGAATGTGTGTGTGTGTGTGTGTGTGTGTGTGTGTGTGTGTGTTATAATTGTTAATATATCCCTGCATATCCAAACTTGTGGAATGTTTAGACATACACTGTCCAGCATAATAGCCACTAGCTACATGTGGCTACTGAGCTCTTGAAATGTGTCTGATCTAAATGTAAATGTACTTAAAATTTAATACAGCATTTCAGACTGAAGCATGAACAAAATAACATAAAAGGGCTCATTAATAATTGTTATATTAACTATATGTGGAAATGATAATATATTAGGTATATTGAGTTGAATAAATATATTATTAAAATTATTTTCACCTGTTTTTACTTATCTTTTTTACATGACTACTAAAAAACTTAAAATTCTGTTTGTGGTTCTTACTCTGTTTTATTGGACAGTGAAGCTCTAGACAGAAGCAAAATTGGGTATAGCATTAATGAGATGGTTGGAGTCTGTTGGGGGAAGATCTCTGAGAACCATGTCATCTCTTGGGCAACAGGGTGGTTCGGTTTGCCTAGGGCAGTCCTGCTAGTGCCTGTTGTTCTGGCATAATTATTAATAGTGTCTTCATAAACTCTCAGAAGTGTGCATGTACAGATGATAAATTATGTGGCACCCTACATATAGGCCTGTACTCTTATTGTTCACTCACCGATAAGAGAAGCAGCCTTTCAAGGAAACCTTGGGAACATAACAACCACAACTCTCACACGGGTACCCTGCAGAGGAGGTTCCGTGTGGCAAGGATCTGGGCCTGGAGCCTACGGACACTGAGACTTCATGTTCTTTTCCATCTCTAGAATTTCATACTTGGTGCTTCCTTCACAACTCCAGCTACACCATTCTTGATTTCTGTGATTTGATAAGTGATGGTGAATGTGGGGAGTGTGAGCTAATGTAGCCATGTAGCAACTAATATGGAAAATAATTGCTTAAAAAGCCATGTTCAATTGCATTTCAGTCCAATATCCACGGGAAGAAAAAAAACAATCAAAATTTCCATCTCTTAAACAGTGTTCACATATAAGTAATTCACAGATGGCAGAGCCCCAAGTGGGTTATGTTCAATCATTCCCAAGAAATGAAACTTACTTATAAGCCACAGCATAAGAAGCTATAAGGATGAATATTTGACACATTTGATTATGTTGAAATATTGCCTCTAAAACCACAGTTGATGACTGTTATTTTTAGTTGCACTTCATTAGGCTTACTGTAGAGGGAAAAGTTTTCATTGATGCCCAGAGATATGTGTTTTTGCAAAGTTGCGAAAGTTACGCTTGTTTTCTAGATGATTAAATTTATTACAAATTGGTTATTTAAGATGTACACTCTCAGACATGTTGGAGTTTTAAAAGGGGCTTAAATTAGAAAAATCAGATTCTCTGCAAGCTTCAAATTCTATGTATATTAAGAAGCCACTAAATCAAGTATTTGTTATTTAACACCAGACATACAGCAAAGAAAGCTATTTCCTTTGTTCCTCTTTTGGTAAACCTACCTAATTATCAGAATAGGATAATTATTAATGTGTAAATAGTAATGGCTATTTATCTTTCAAGGCAATAGCAAATCCAATTCTATTCACTGCTTTTGAATTAAGAAAGAGAATCCTAGAAACAGGATATGCTGGTGAGAGTCCACTTGTGGGACTTCTTACCTTCCTTTTCTTGATTGTAACCTGGTGTTCTTGGCTTAAGGGCATGCTATAAAACCAGGTTCTTGAAATTGATGTTCTCAAACTTGCTATGGAACAGAACTCTAAAACAGATGTGATTTTTCTTCTTAATATCCGGTTAACTACCATGGTTGTTTTGTGTTTTAATGACTGTTTATACTTTTTAATTTAACCCTTAAGGCAAATTGATCCTGCAGGGTGAGAAAATTAAAAACTGGATTCCTGAAAATTATAATACTGTGGTTGTTCTCAGAGAGTGAATGGCATTGTTTGTTCTAAAACCATTACTTGTCTTGCATCACAAAAATAAAGAAAATATTGACCTATCTTTCCACAGTCCATGTCTATGATATATATATACATTTTATTAAAAAAATAAACACAGATTTGGGGGTTGTTAAACTAGAAGTTCTTGGATAGATTTAAGGGGTCTATTAACTCCCTTAAGTGTTACACCTTAGTGAGGGGATGGGGTGTCCTTCATGAAAGACATTCTATCATTTCAGATTTTAAGAGTAACTAAAAATCAACTGTTTGGGGATTAGATTAAATAATGTAAGGAAGCCACTAATTCTCACAGTGAGCAGAATGATAGAAGTTAGGAAGTAGAAAATTATCACTTCCTCCCTGCAAATATGTACTAAATAATGAAGTTTAGTTCATCATATTATCATCTGTTTAACTCTTAGT